AAAAAGAACAAGGCCAAGGTCACATAGAGAGATTGATCCTAAATACCATTCCAGGGTTCTTTGTTGGCTTGTAAAGAATTAAGGAATTAAACTCTGGTGCTTTTTCTGGGAGCTGAGTTTTGAACCAACAAGTCCTAGAGAGTATGGGTGCCCCAGCACATTTCATTAGGGGATGCTCCCAGGAAACTTTTATTTTTCAGGACGAACTTTTATGGAATTATAAGGCATTTGAGAATCCAGTGGCATCCTAGTATTTCTAGTTCAGCAGGACAAGCATCCACTCTCCACCTTGCACATGATTAGGGAGTAGCTCAGTCTCAGAGCCTTTCACACCAACAATCAGTTCCTCCCTCCACAGCAGCACCCATCCACTGTTCATCTACTAGATCAGGGTTTGGACAGCGCTCCCAGCCATGGGCACAGAGCAGTTAATTTTCCTTCTTTGCATTTGATTTGAACTCTTGCAGTAATCCAGATATAGAAGATGTGTCATCAAAACAAACAGATGTTGCTGGTGACTATCAATTGAGAGTGCCAATGATAGCATTAAATGGAAAAGACTGATAATCAGTTGTTAATTGTCTCTGAACAAATACAAAATGCTCAACTGGACTGTTTGTCATTGTCAAAATCTGACACCTTAGTACATCTGGTCATGGTGTCTACAACCAGTACTGTTGGTGGTGTTTATTGAAACCATTTTGCTGTTGGATGAAGACACAATCTTTTGTTGAATAATGTTGGGAAGGCCACCATGAACTCCTTTGGGATGTAATTACTCAGGGGGCATCTTGAGGAGACAGTTACCCCATTTTGCCATTATGGGATGATATTCTAGAGCCCACTGACCAAGTTTCAGGATTATACCTTTGGTAAAATGGTCCATTTTTTCATCTTGACCCTCTACTGGTCTTCTACTTGTTGCCAAATGGAACACTGTCAATCAGTTGCCTCATTACCCTTTAGTTCTGTTTTTCTTGTTTAGACTAAGGACCCTGCTTGCCTTCAGCCAACCGTAACATCATTAGGATTTCCTTGACCATAAAGAACAGCTGGCCACATGAGATTTTACTGCTTGGGGCTCATAAAACCTTTGTCAGCCCTGTGCCGGTTTCTGAATACTTTATCAATAAATGCTCGGTCAGTATGATCTCTGTTTGCTACATCATTACAGGAAAAGAAACATTGGGGAAAAGCAAAAGTCTGAGTCATTTGGTAGGCAATATTCTAACCAGCTCCATAGGTGAAGCCCATCAGACTGAAAACATCTTTGATGGTCATCTATTCTCCTTCTGGGAAACATGCTCAGTGGGCTGATGAAGGACCTGAAGCTTACCTGAGGCTGCCATTCCAACCTGGCTTTTGGAATGTCATGGACCAGGGCATCAGAGGAAATCTTTGATGGGTTTGAATCAGGCTCCTTGAGCTGAAGGCAGAGACCAAACCTGTTTCTGCTGGTCTCCTCGAGGGCAGGGCTGTGTTGCGATAACCTTTTTAAAGCTCTTAGCACAGCATGATAGGTCATGTAGTAGGTGCTATAGAAATGCTTATTTCCTTCCCTTATCATATTTACATCACTAATACTTAGCACAATAACAGGAATACAGTAAGTATTTAATAAATACCTTTTCATGGGTGTATTCATTCCTCCCCATGAAACCCAGTGGAAATTCAGTGAACACAGAAGTAAAATAATACCCCAATATTAATCCTTTTAAAATGTGTGCCTTAGGGTTGGCATTTTGCTCACCCAGAGAATGAGTAGAGCTAGTAGCAGACAGAGATGAGCAAAGAGTAGCTGCATGACTCACACAAGTGCAGAAAACCCCAGAGACACAAAGGCATAATCAGAGCCATCAGGACCCTGCTGCTTGAACACTTCCTGACCTGTTGATGCCTCAGCCAGCCTTTCCCAGAGAGGTGAGATCTCACTCTGAGATGACCTCACAGGGTGGAAGTCAGTCCCTATCCTGAGTTACTAGAAAAGAAATCTAGAATAACGTCAATAGCCATAGAGTGTCAGAGCTGGAAGGAACCTGAGGGACCATCAGTACAGACCTTTCACTTTATAGACAGGGAAACTGAGGCCTAGAGTCACTGAGGTGGTATGAGGCAGATCCAAACCTGGGACCCTAGCTCCAATTCAGATCAATGCAAAACTGCCTCCTCCATGTTGCCCCCCACCACATCACTGGCTTCCTTCTCTCCACCCCACCTTCCCCACTGCCATCACTGTTACCTAGACAGGGTTCATCTGGGTCTTCTTTAGGCTGACACTTCTGAGCTCACTTACTGCAGTGGGGTCAGGCATGCTCTGTTCCCAAAGTAGTCCCCAGAACTCTGAGGATCCTGAATAAATTATATATAATTTGCCTCAAGTCTCCTTTACATGAACTTTCTATAAAATCCATAACTCATTATTAAAAAGCATGGAAAGCAACTCACCAGAGCTAAAATCTTCACCTCTGTTCCCTGGAAAACCCTGGGAACTAGCTGCTTATTCAGGGGGCTTGAACATGAATCATAGCATAGCAGGTGGTCCAAAGGCTCTAAATGGGGTGTAAACCCCACCCAGAAGCTGGGAGAGAGACAACGTCAAACTCAAATTAGCCTTTCAGCCTCCATGATAGAGATGCTGCATGTAGGAGAGCTCCCTTTTGTGAGGCTCGAGCTTGTATAAACATAGACTTCCAAAACAATGGGGACACCCCAATCTGGAGCTACGTGTTGAGTTGCAAACATACTCCACCAAGGCAGGGTCTCTGGAGCCCTCCTCCCTTCAAGTCTATGATGAAGACCTGATTTCCAGGGGAAGAGCACACCAACTCCCTCTGCTGAGAGTCACAGAGAGGTAGAGGTAGAGGGACTAGCAAATTGGGTTGGTCATGCAGTATAGGACAACATGGACAAGAGTCCCACAGGACAAGAGGGCATGGTGCTGCAGGGGAGACACGTTCATCAAAGTACCCAAGTAATCTCACAGAATCTCCAACATGAAGATCAGAGGCTTTGTTTTTGTTTAGCTGGGGTGGGGGAGGATGGAGAGCACCTTGCTAGCTGGGGGTTGTAGTAAGAGGCTTTTTCCAGCTGCCTCTGCTTTTCTCATGAAAGGCACTTCAGAGCCAGTCAGGCTGCTCAGGATTAAAAAGATCAAAGACCTTCCTCAACCCTCATCCCTTGTCCCTTTCCTCTGCACATGTTTCTCCAACACATTAAGTGACATGTGTCACTACCACTGAACCTCATGGTTGTTGGGACCAAAGGAGAAGCTAGGGTATGAATGCAGCTCAACCTGTCCCAGAGGTGCCAGAGACTACATAACTATTTTTGGCCAGTAAACCTGAAAAGCAGCATGGCATAGTGAATAGAGGGCCTTTGGAATCAGGAAGACCTGAGTTCAAACGCTACCTCTAACACATACTAGCTGGGAATCTCTCAAGCCCTCCAGGCAATTTATGTCTCTGAGTCATAGACTAGATGCCAATCTGCATCAGTGGAGGGAATTTCCACATGGGGAGTTCCCTAATGCTGATGATGTCTTGGGTCTGGACCAAAAGGAAACAATTTGGTCCCACTTAGCCGAGGTTTCAGGTTTGAACTAGAGCACAAGTTCTTTATCCTGCAGAGGGTCCAGCAAGCAGCTCCCAGAAACCTTTGAGTCAAACATCAAGGAATGGCCCCAGTCAGGATTCCAGTGGTGTAAACAAAGGTTTGTCCCTTCACCCACGTGTGTTTGTCTGATGATCATCACCACTGAACCTCACAGTTGTTGGGTACAAAGGAGAAGTAGGGGGCATGAATACTGGACCACATTTATATGCTTTTTCTCTTTTCATGTTAATTCTCCAGTATCTATAATCAGCAGCAGCCATAATATCATATGACCTTGGTGGTATACTTCATTTAAATTCAATAAGCATTTATTAAACACCTACTAGGTTCCAGGCACTAGGCCAGGTATTAGGGATACAAAAACAAAGCCAACACAGGCCCTGACCCCAGGGAGCCTCCATTCCATCCTCACCTCACACGCGTGCTCCAATGCTCTCATTGACCCACAATTCAAGAATTCAGCATCCCTTTGTGCCCCCTGCATTTATGAAGTGCCTACTGTATATGTGGTGGTAGGGATACCAAGACAAAACCAAACCGGTACCTGCCTTCAGGGAGCTTACATTCTGTTTACACTGCTGATCTCCTTGATGCAGGCTTTCCCTCCAATGGTTCAGATCACAGCCTTGCTCCTCTTCTGTTCCTATGTGACTCTTATTGGTGGCCTCCTGTAAGAGGGCCTACCCAACATGCTTTCTGTACCACATGGGCACCAAAGCAGAACCATGCCCTCCCTCTATTCTGATTATACTCCTACTTGACCAGCTTGCCACTGCTGTTTCTGAGCCAACATTTCCTCAATGCCACCTCCTAATTCCATTTTGTGCCCATGGCTGATGGTCCAGTACAGATGGCACATCCCCCTCTGTGACCTGCCTGGCCCTCTGTGACCTGCAGCTTCTCTTCTTCTGAGAACATTTTGAGATGTTCAGCCACAGAGCATTGTAGGGGAACACCTGGTGTGGAGTCTCTTCCCTCTCATGCAGATTAACAACTGGTTTGGGATTGATAGTCTTAAAGAGCTCCTGGGTCCTGAGTAGTTCAGTGACTTGCCAAGAGTCAGCCAGCCAATATGTGTCAAAGGCAACACTTGAACCCAGGTCTTCCAGATCCCAAAGCTGGCCCTCCATCCACCATGAAATGTGCCTCTTACTGAGAAAATGATGGGGGTGAGGTGGGTGGAAAGAAGGCTTGGACTTGTAATTTCATTGGCAGAGGGAACTCCAAGTGTGGAAGTTCCTTCCACCAACTGAGATCAATAATCCGTCTGAACTTGACAGTCCGAGAGAGCTGCCTAGGGCTGGCCCAGGATAACAGTCAGTCCATGTCAAGGGCAGGGTCTCAATCCATGTCTTTCTGACGCCAAGGGCAGTTCTCCATCACTTACACCCTATTGCATCTCTGCTGAGAGAAATTTAGCGTTAGAAAGTTGGGGTTTGGTGTCAGATGACAACCTGGGATTTTTGTACCACTTTCCAAATGTGATCTAGCCCTGTCACTTCCTCTTCTTTGATGTTAGGGGGATGGCAGATTAAGCAAGACTTTGAACACCAATCAGAGGATTTTATATTTGGTCCTGGGGGCAATGGGGAGCCACTGGGATTTACTGAGTAGTGGGGTGACATGGTCAGATTTGAACTTTAGGAAGGCCACTTTGGTGATTGAGTGGAGGATGGACTAGAGTGGAAGAGATCTGAGGCAGGCAGAGCCCCCAGCAGCTACTGCCCTATCCTGGGAGTTAAGGTGATGAGGGCCTGCACCAGGGTGGGGGCAGGGTCAAAGAGACGTTGTGATGGTAGAAATGACAAAACTTGACCATTGGTTGGATATGGGAGATGAAGGAGGAAGGAAGGGGTCGAGGACACCTAGGTTGGGAACTTTGATTACTAGGAAAATGGAGGAACCATTGACTGCTGTCAGGATAGCAAAGTCAGATAACAATGTCAGGAAGAAGGGAGAGCTAGGAGAAAAGACAGAGTCCTGTTATGGACATGGTGAATTTTCTTTAACTCTATGATTTCTATGGAACATGAGTTTGGAGATGTCCAAAAGGCAGATGGAGATGTGAGAATGGAGGTCAAGAGAGAGGTGAGGGCCAGATAAGATCTGAGAATCATCTGAGGAACTGGAGAGTGAGGGACAGCAATGTAGCTATGGCAGGGGACAAGAGAGCAAAGAGAAGCCTGGAAGGTATGTGGCTGAAATAGTGGGCCAGAGGAGTACCCACCAATTAGGACAGGAGCTCCCGAGAGGAAAGGCTAGAGACCTCAGGCAGGGCTATGGTTTTGTCCTTCCAGATACAAATTTGACTCATTTGGTGGCCAAATTTTGCTCTCCCACTCCCTGTCTTTGGAGCTGCAATTAGCCCCTAGTGAAATATTTAGCAAATGAGGTTCTAATTGTATTGGCTACAATCCTGCACAGCCATTGGCTTCCAGACTCAGTGAGTCATACAGGCTCTGTATGAATGACAGCTTCACCCCCACCTGAAAGAACCCTCAAATTCAGCAGAAGCCGAGAAGGGCTAAGTTTATGAGAACGTCCTTTCCCTTTGTGGAGGGAAGTCTGGCTGTCCAGCCTGTTGTGAAGGGTCTGAGGAGAGGCCAGCAGATGGGGACCCTGGTCCCCAGGAAACCTCTGAGAGTTTGTCATTTCCAGCTGACTAAAAGTCAGAACACCGACACCAGCTCAAACTCCCATCCCCTGTGGTTTGTATATTGCCTTCTTCAGAGCAAACCTGTGAGGTAGTTGGTGTGTTATCATCATCATTCTTATTTTACAAAAGAGAAAACTGAGTCCAGAGAGGCTTATTAACTTGTCCAAGGTCACACAGGCCAGGATTGGCAGTCAGTGTTGAATCCTTGAGTCATCCCCACCCAAGAAAGGAAAAATTATGAAATTAGCGTAGTTTATCTCGGGCATTCTTGCACCTTTCCATACACCTCCCCCACCCCATTTCTGCACCGAGTTACACAGGTACATTTACATACACATATACTTGTATATGTTACACACTGTTTCCTGTGTCTGCCAGGCCCCCCACAGCACCATTTCCCCAACTGGAACTCACACTCACAAGTTGGGTCCTCAGAGGTTCATCTTCTATTAATCTCATAGTTTTAGATGTAATCCTTGAGGATGGCTACATTCCTAACACCATAGCTCTTGAGCCCCCACTGGTATGCTCCTCATTAACATTTAGACAGCGGATTCAACTAAGACATTGACTTAAATAGCAAGAACCATGGTTACAAAACATTACTCCCATAAGGCTGAGGCTCAATCTGCCCCCAATAGACACAATATCCATGGGGAGAGTGGATAAAAACTTTAAGTACAGTAGTACTGAGGCCCACATATAGGAAATACATATATGGCCAAAGCAACTCACAGCCTGGAACTTTGGTGTCCTATCTTTGTCTCTGTGACTGCAGGCCCCCAAATTCTCTTCCTGTAGAACTATATCCGTGAAGCTCATTGCTGGGTAGAGCATCTACTGGACTTCCTCTGCTAGGATGCTCTGCTGCTCCACTGGGCTTACCCCTCCATGACAGCACTTCCTGCTTCTCCACCACTTCCTGCATCAGATTTAGCTGGACCTCCTACCTGAGCCAGTGTTGTGCTCTTTCAGAAACAACAGAGGCTCTTAGCCAAAGATTGGCAGAGGTGTCTCCAGTTCTGCTGCCTCGAGAAAGGGGTCATGAGAAGTATGTGTATCTATGTCAGTACAAACCCATCCAAATGACTCCTAAGCCTCCCATCCCCAGCTCAGTACATCTGTGGGTGGAGGTCTCTAAGAGGCTCAGCTTCCCTCCCCAAAGTCCTCAATGGCTGCTAATGAGTGAGATAACTTAATTCGCTGCAAAAAGCCTAAGCTTCCCAGGTGTAAAGTACAGCTGAGAAATTGTATTCCTGATTGATGATTCTAAGTAACCCCAAGAGGACCCAGCCTCTTTCTTCAATTTAGAAGCTCCAGCAGGAAAAGTGTGTGTGTGTGCGCGTGTGTGTGTGCGTGTGTGTGTGTGCGCGCGTGCGTGTGTGTGTGTGTGTGTGTGTGTGTGTGTGTGTGTGTGTGCCACAATCCCAATCAACCAGATTACACCGGTGCCTAGGGCACATGCAGGTCTGCTGGGGAGCTCACAACAGAAGCTGCTATATGTACCCCTCGCCCCACACACAGCCACCTCTGGTAACTGAGGTCCCCTGGCTAGTCTTCATCCCACACCAGCCCACTGGGCTTCATTCCAGGGTCCCAAATGCAGGGAGCGTACATTGCTTTCTGAAGTAGGAGACACAGTGGGCTTCTCTTCCTGACAAGTTCTACCCTTCCAAGTGTGGGATGACAAGAGAAAGCGAGGTAAATCCATGCACTAATCTGTCTGCCTGGGTGTTTCCTGCCTTTCCTTACAATCTCCTTGGGAGCCTATGCACCTGCCTGGCATTCAACGCTCTCCCTATCCCTGCCTTGGTGATCTGATCCCACATCTCTGCCCCAGGGTGTCAGGGCTGTCCTCACACATCTCCGCCTTCTCCTTCCCTCCTCTTTGTCCAATGCTTCAAGGCCCAGTGGGGACCCTGGGCTGCCCCAAATGCCCTCCTTCCCCCTTTTGCCTTTCAAATCCTCCCCCTCCTTTAAAGCCCTGCTTCCCCCAGGGAGGCCTCCCTGATCTCCCCAGCTGGGGACCGGCTTCCTCCCTGGCCCTCTGCAAGCACCCAGTTTTACCTGTCATTAGAGATGCCCGTGCTGGGACTTCAGGTCCCTGACCTCTCCTCAAAGATGTGATTCTGTCCTACCGACCCTTGGTAGTGCCCTGCACACAGTGGGCACTTAATCAACATTTATTGTATTGTATCTGCTTGATCCTGAAACTCTCGTGTCATCACATAAGAAAGCAGGATCATGGGACTTACCCTGGGGAGGGACTTGGGAAGCCACCTGTTCTAAAACACTCAAGAGAAACTGAGGTGTGGAGGGGACAGTGACTTACCCAAGGTCACAGAGGTAGGAAGTAGCAGAACAGGATTTGAACCCATCATTATCCCTGATCCTAAATATCCAATCAGTTGCCATATTTTGCCATTTTATCTCTATATCATTTCTTGCAACCAACTCCTTTACTCAGACAACTGTAGCCGTAGTTCAGCCCCCCGTCGTATCTCACTTAGATTACTGAAACATCCTCCTAACTGGTCTCCCTGCCTCAGGTTTCTTCCCCCTCTAGTCCACCATACACACAGCTACCAAAGTGATTTTCCTTAAATGCAGATCTGGCCCCAGCAAACCCATATTCAGTGAATTAGAGTGGCTTTCTATGTTTCTATTGTTTCTATGTTTCTATTATTTGACTCCAAAGTCATGCCCACCGACGACCTCCCTGGTCCCCACATGTTCCTCCAGGATCGGGGTAGTCTGCTTTTGCTTGTTTTTAACCCACACCATGGGGGTGGCCCAGCACTGCCCCTCCCCATGTAGGGCCCCTAGAACCTCAGACTCGTTGGGGACATCGAGGGCCATCCTGCTCTAGATAGGCCTGAACGCAAATCTCTTGGATGTTGGCCATCTATGGGAAGGGCACCTCCGGCTGTGTCAGAAGACTCCCCCTTCCCTCCTCAGCCCCCCCACCCCCATCTTGGCCCAGAGCTTAGCTGCCTCCATTCAATGACTGCAGGCCCTCCCAGTGTGGAAGAGGGAGGGGGGGCAGATAGAGTCCCTAGTCCCAGTGATGCCCTAGCTCTGGCTCAGAAAGGCCCTAGGCTCTGCCCCCTTTTTCCTCTGCTCCCTGGCCTAGCTCAGGGCCCTACCTTAGGTGTATTTATTACTAATCACTCCAGGAAACACACAGACATTTAAAATGACAAACATAGACAAACATATGATAAAAATCAAGGCTAATCCTGGCCTTCCATGCTCCTAATCCTCCTCCATCTCCTCCCTCCTGCCCCACCCACCCTTCCCAGACTCAGCAGCAAGATCAGGACCGCAAGTTGGGCAAGGCTCCCTGGGGGTCCAGCCCCTTCCTAGAGGCTTGCAGCAAGCCCTTTCAGGGAGTCCTCTCCTGGGCTTTTGGCTTGCCCGGGGACCTCCCTAGCAGGCCCCTCTTCCCGCCTTGGAATCAGTGGCAAAGAGCCCTCAGAGACTCTCCTACACCTGGGCTCTTCTGGGATGAGGGCTGGCTCTGCCCCTGCAGGAGCCTCAGTTTATCTGTAAAATGAGGGGTTTGTACTAGATGGCCTCAGGGTCCATCTAGTTCTGGGCCTATGCCCCCAAGCAATACTCTCCCAAGCCCCTCTGGCTCACAGAGCTTTCCTCCTCTCCTGGGAATCTCAGCAGCTCCAGGGCCTTGGCCCTGACCTGAGCTCCCAGACTGGGCAGCCCCTAAGGGCCGGCCAGGGTCACCTGGCCTGTCCCCCCTTCCCGGTCTCTTCCTCCTCTTCTTCCTTCCTCTTCCTCATCCCCTGTGCCTCCAAACGATCCTCCTGGGACATGAAGCACTCCAGTGGAGGCAGAAGTCCAAGCCAATGCCAAACTGAGTAAATGCTTCCTCTCCAGCTCCCACCATAAAAGTGGTTCCCAAACTGCCCCAAAGTATGACAATCTCACTCCCACCTCTCCAACTTTCCCACAAGAATCTCTGGATGGATGTGCTGGTAAATGTTTAACATCCAGCTCCCCACATTGGGGATGGGGTGGAGGATAAGTTCAATCTCCATCACTAGCATATTAACATCACCAGATTCTCAGGTCTAGATAATCAGGGAAACAATAAATCAAGCCTGATTGGCAGCATTTGCTAACTTCCCAGGTGTAAATACTCACACTGAACATTTAACAATCGGCTCTGAAAAGGCTTTATCAGACACTTTGCCACGGCTGAAATCAGCTGTATCTTCCAGGTCCCCCATCCGTTGACCCAGGAGCCTTGTGGAGACCTGAGGAGTCTTCCCGATGAAGCTGTGGTGACTTTCTGTGACGGCTGCTCTCCTTTCTCCACGTTCACTGTAATGATACAGTCTAGAAGTTTGCCAGGAATCAAGTCAATTTTGTCTGACTCTTGGCCTAGACCAGCATCAGGGCTCTGGCCTCTCTGGGGCCCATGAGGCCAGTGACCACTGGCTTCACTGCCACAATCTCCCCCTCCCTGGAGCCTCAGATGCTGGTGCTTCTCCCATCAGACTGAGCTCTCTGTGCTGATTATTCCAGGCTCCTGGGGCTCTGGCTCTGGCTCTTGGCTGACCAGAGGATCTCCCTGGCCCAGCTGCCTGCCCCACTCATCTCCTTCCAGTTCTGCACATCCCTCCCAATCTCCCCTAGGTGAGGGTCTCCAGGCTTCCTCCACCTCCCATACAGATCCCAGAGGATCCTTCACAAGCTTCTATAGCCAGTCCTGCCCTCTCTGTCCATCTTGGGCTGGCACCTCTGACACCAGACCCTCCTCACAGCTGGCAAGGACCAGCCAGGGCCAGTGCAGCTGGGCACCGTGGCTGAAGAGCCGGCCTCCGGTGCCCCCACCCGGAGAGCCCAGGTGAGCCTCTGAGGGGGCTCTGGAGAGGGATGTCAGGATGGATAGAGCAGGGAGGGACCCTGAAGGTCAATTTGTCCAACCCCCTTGTTTAACAGATGAGGAGATAGGGGTGTCAGAGGTGAGGGGCCAGTCAGGACGCAGCAGGGATCAGTTTTCAAATTTGAGCATCCTCTGCCACACCCAGCCTCTCTGGGGCAGAAGCCTTTACACCTTTACAATAGGGGAAAAAAAACCCCTTTATCTGATGGCAAACCCCTCCCCCAGCCGCAGCCAATGAAGGCGTAGGTCACTCAGCCACTTACAGAGTTGCCAGATGGACCTTCCAGCCATAGGAAGGACCCCTGAGGCCCAGAGGCCTGACCCAGGGCTGGAGACAAGTTATCTCCAGGCTAGTGCCATCTGCCCTCAAGGACCACACCCAGGACCACGTGGCCTTGTGGTCTTAACCCCTATAAAGAACCAGAAAAAACCCACAACTTTGTGGGCAGGCAGAGATGACAGAGGCTCAAAGCCCCAGGGGATCTTGATCAGGAAGCCAAGGTGACTGCTTGAGAGGCTAGGCTGTGGATGGAGAGGACATGAAGGGGAGGTGGGCAGGGAAGCTGGGATGTAATGAGCCTTTCCAGCCTTGACCTTATTTCTAGATGAGTCCATCCTGTTCAGCCTAACACTGTCTACGTCCCTTAATAAGCAGAGCATTGAGTCAGCTCACAGGAGCACGCATGGATGGCTCTCTTAGAGCCGCTGGCCCAGCAAAGGAGCCCAGGCCCTGAAGGGAAGAGTTAGGGGTGCCCTGAGCACATCCTGAGAAAGCTGGCTCTTCTTGGGGACTGGATCAGGTGCCAGAGGGTGGACCAGTCATGCAGGCATGGGTAAGGGGCATATCTACAGGCATTTCCTGACCAGGAGGTGTCCATACACCTAAGTGCCCCAAGACCCTGTGGGAGGTGCAGAGGTGTAGTGGCAACGTCCCTGGCCCGAGCTCAGCTCAGATTCCAAGCCTCACACTCCCAGGCCACAGTGATCTGGGGCTGTCACTGGCAGCCTGCCAAGAAACAGATCTCCCAATCCATTTTGTAATGCCTAGTGTGAAAACAATAGAAACAATTAAGATAAATCCTGTTAAATTAAGCAAGAAGGGAATTAGTTTAGCTTCTAGACCCTCATCTTTAGCAAGGGGGCCATAGGCCAGCTATTCATCTTTGCTGTTTTGAAAGGAGGGAGCCCAGTGGTCAGAGTGCCAGAGTAGGATTCAGGAAGACCAGAGGTCAAATCTGGCCTCAGACACTTCCTAGCTGAGGCGGCAGATTCCACGTTGTCCGAGAGAATTGTCCAGAAATGTTCTCACCTCTCTCTTTACCACCTGTGCCTTCCTCTACGTGACCGGCAAGCAGCAGACCTGGGGCTTCTTAAGTGTTTTCTACACACACAGCCGGGCCAATCTTTTAGATTCTTCCAGCCTCAGTTTGCCCGGCCTTGCCAGGCAGAAAGCGCAGGGGTGAAGGGAACTTCTGTCTCCCATGAAGTCCTGCCTCAGAGGAGGACAGAGGGACGAAGGGAGGGAGGAGCATCACATCCACAGAGGGTCTGGGTCAATACACCCCCTACTCACGTCTATTTTGCCCTCCTGTGGAAGGGCTTTGCAGGCTCTGGGAGGTCTTCTGTCCCATCTTGGCCCTCACTGATGTCTCACATCAGCAGTGTGAGGGTCACAACCGTAAAAGGGCCTCTGGTGGAAGAGGGTCCATGAAATAGTCTGCAAGACAATAGTCCTGGAGAAGGAAGAGATGTGCCCAGAGAGTGAATCTTAGGCCACAAGGTAAGAGGGGCCATAGTAAAGCTTCTGAACCATGGGGACAGGAGGCCAAGGGCCTGGACCTTCAGGGGTTCCCAGGGGAGCCAGCCAGACCTCTGGGGATGGCTTCTTTGAAAACAAAATCAACTTATCCAAGCCCTCAGCAGCTCCATTTAAAGTCTCCTATATCGTCCATTCTATTGTCCTACCATGTGGTACCCTTCTTCCAATTCCATTGAATTCTCCAGGCATTAATTAAGCACCTACTATGTGCATGTCACAAAATCAGAGGGAATAATATTTACCCAGGCAAGAAAATACAATCAAGTGTATGCCAAGTAATGTAATGGAAGGAAAGAGCTCACAACCAGAGGAATCAGGAAAGGCCTTGTGTGAGAGGAGGCAGCCGAGCCGCGCCTTGAAGAATACTGGAGATTCGATGAGGGAGGTGAGAGGGAGTGCATGGAGGGGGAGGAAAGGACAGCAGTACAAAGACATGGAGGTGGGGGATGGGATTTGAAGCCCAGCCTTCCCGCCTTCCGGTGAAGCCTGCTCTCCAAGCCGCCCCTCTGGGTCTCTGCAGAGCCCCCTCATTGCTCTGGGCCGAGCAGGACAGGGATCATCCACCTTCTTGAGGATGGCTCTTCAGCTTCTGAGAGACGGAATTCACTCACACCTCTGAGCTGCCCAGTCTCAGTCTGTAACCACTGTGCCACACTGCCTGTCGCCTCCACAATCACCTTTATTGAAGGCAGATCAAGGCCGCCAGAGAGATGAGCCAGGCAGGGCCTGGGTCTGTGGGGAGGCCAAAGGGTCTCAGCTGTTATCATTCGCTTGAATACAGGACCTGGACGTGTGTGTGTGTGTGTGTGTGTGTGTGTGTGTGTGTGTGTGTGTGTGTGTGTTTGGTGTTAAAAGCTTCTTAAGAGTCCCCCATTGCGGCAGACGCAGGGAGGGCAGAGGCCCATGACCGCTGGCTGGGCAGGGTGAAGGTTCCAGCCCTCCTCAATCTGTGACAAGTTCCCAGGTGACTCCAGTCCATGGCCTCTCACTTGTTGCTGAAGTACCGGGGCTGGCCCAGAAATCGCAGCCGCTGGTAACTGGGTCAGCTCCAAAGATGTTGGGTCCCTGTTTGTGAGGAAATGAGGCCAGAGTGCCTGAGGAAGAGGCAAAGGGCAGGTTGTTTGTGTGGGCCCTGGGAGAAATCCCCATCCTGCTGCCGGTCTGAAAAGAGTGGGCCACCAGTGGAGACACTGTCCACAGTGACCAGAAATGCTGGCCCCAGGCCAGGGCTGAGAACCGTCCTGTCCAGGGAAGCTCCCCCTGCCCCTGCATGGCTGCTGGACAGACCGACTCTCTGTACTTCGGCCTTCTCCTCTAGAGAAAGGGTCTAGAAAGTTCAAGGGTAGCTAGCCATGCTGCCTTGGAGGCCGAGGCCCCATAAGCTGGTCAGCTGGCCTGGTCTTAGGACACAAACAATGTAAGGGGGCTGGGGGCTGAGCTGGACCTGGGCTTTAGCAAAGAGGACAGGCAGGAATGGCATCCACCAGAGGGGCTCCTGGGAAGGCAGCCTCCCACGTCCAGAGAGGTCGGTCACCAAGCAAGGGCACTGTGGGTGTAAAGCCCTCTCCTGGTTCAGAGGGGCAGTTAGGGTCTGGGCTGGTGAAGCTGGAGAGATCTTTTCATTAGATCCCCAGACATCATCTGAGCCCTGCTTGTGCAAGGCGCTGGGGGATGCACAGAGATGCCCAGGGACTGGGGGTCTGGCGCTCCATGGGGGGCATATGACCTCCGTGCCCCCCCCACACTGGGCCAGCTCCAGAGCCCTCAGGAGGAGCTTGGAGCTGTTGTAATGACCTAGCTCCTATCCTGGACAGCCCCCTCACCCCCCACCCAGGAGCAGCAGCAGCAAAGCCAATGCTGTGATCAATGGTGAAGGATGAAGCCACGGAGGGATTTCGGAGCCAGAAGCCTTGTGTTACAATCCCCACTGTCTGCTCTCTGGGCTCAGTTTCTACCCTAAACCAAAGAGGCTGGGTTTCCTCCAGGTTTCAGCCTGTGAGTCAGCTCTACTCTGAAGTCTCTGGAGGGGGCCGGGCTCTGGGATGCAGCGCCCTGCTCTCATAGTAGGTGCTTAATGAGGCTGGGATAAAGCCCAGGGGAGGGGGAAGGGACCTCAGGGCCCCTCCAGGCCAAACCAAAACGGGGCAGGCCCTTTCTTTGCTTTGTCACCCCTAGGAAGGGGCACTCTCTCCTTCCTGAGGCAGTCCGTTCCCCATTTAGGCATCTAAGTACAAGCACTGGGTCCTTGTATTAGCACTAAGTCTGTCATTAATGTCATTAATAACTCTCTGCCATTCCTGCCCATTCACACTCCTGGTTCTTCTTTCTGGGCCAAGCAGAATAGGCCCAATCCTCCTCCCCAGGACAACCCTTGGGACATTGAAGACTGTCCCCCAAAGCTGTCTCTTCCCCCTGCAGACCCTCTCCAGAGTTTTGAAAGACCTCCTGTGGCCTAGTCTCCTGCCCTTCACCACCCAGCCTGCTCTTTCCTATGGCCTCCAGGACGTCACCACCCTCCATGAAAGGTGATACCCAGAGCTGAGCATGACATTCTGGATGGTGCCTCCAGATGGGGTCTCCCCAGAGAGGGGAGCACAGCAGGACCATCCCTTCTCAAGTCCAGGACTCTGGGCCTCGTTTGACCGTGGCACGGTGGAAGTAGCCTCTCGGCTTCTAGTGGCCACTCGGGCCCCAAGATCTTTTTCTGATGAATTACTGAATGTTAATGTTTTATCGATGGTCCTTCCCAATGTTACAGGCTTCAGACTGGCCAGTGAGTGTTTCACTGTGGCTGTGTAGATGCATGGGCTAAGTGGGCTCCCTTGAGGTTGGAGAAGAATGCTGTTTGGCGGATTTCTGGGCCATGGCTCCAGAGGGAGGGGGCTGTGACACACCTGCAGGAGGTCTCATCCCAGCATCGTCCCCTTCTCTTGGCTCTGCTTCGCTGGCATCTCCCCAGAGGCATGGATTTGGAAGCCACAGACTGTTCTTGGAATGAGGCTTCTTTGCCGAATGTGGTGAAGAGACCCAGGAGGGGGTGGGTCAGCCTCCTCAGAATATGCGTGTGGAGTCAGAGCACACCCGACACGTGGGTGCCCAGCTTTAGGGGGGCTCCTTCCATGGCGGGGAGCTCATTCCACCACGGCAGCTGTTCTGCCTCGGGCGAGAAGTTTGACCAGGCTCATCTGTCCATCCCCTGCCCCTGTTATGTCCCCACACATGGCTGTCAAGTCCTCCCCGAGGCCTCTTTTCTTCTGGCTAACCCTCCCCAGTTCCTTCCCACAGCCCCTCTCTATACAGCACAACCTGAGGTCCCTTCCCGTGACAGTGGCCTCCTCCTATAATGCAGCCCAGAGCTGAGCACGGCCCCCAGAGGAGGCCTGGCCAGGGCAGGGAGCAGAAGCACCATCACCACGCCTCTCCTGGTGAAGTGTGAGGCCCCCTTCACCTTGGCTGCAATATCATGCTGCTGGCTCACATTCCACTAAGTCTGCTAAGACCCCCAGATCTTTTCCAGACAAGCTCCTGTCTGGCCATCGCTCTCCTA